CAGCCATTCCTGTCACCACCGGAAGAACATATCCAAATGGAGGGGTGGGGGGTACCCCTTTGGCCTCTGGAGTGAGGAAGACCCAAGCTCACTGCGCTGATGTGCACCACTGAGATGCCAGGGTATTCGTTACAGACACCCACACAGCCCACAAGGTCGGCAGTGGGTTGGGAAGCGAAGCTGCATCACACCCCACCCTGTGTCCAGCAGGTGGCAAGACACTTGTTGCTAACCCAGGATACACCGCAGCGAGGGAGACATTCACTTTTATGATCCTGAGTGACTCAGAGCTGTTTCTAGAGCAATCACAGTCTCAGCCGCTACAGAACACAACGCCCCCAAAGGCAGTGCATTAAATCAACATTTATTTTGCTCACAAATGGAGTTGGGGCAGGGCCCAACAGGAATACTCATCTCTTCATGTGGCACTGGGGGCGGGTCTCCCTGAGAAAATAAGGACCCTTTTCTTTTCTTTCTTTCTTTCTTTCTTTCTTTCTTTCTTTCTTTCTTTCTTCCTCCCTCCCTCCCTCCCTCCCTCCCTCCCTCCCTCCCTCCCTCCCTCCCTCCTTTCTTTCTTTCTTTCTTTCTTTCTTTCTTTCTTTCTTTCTTTCTTTCACGTGCCCCTAGCGGGAACCGAACCTGGGACTCTCTGGTCCGTAGGCTGTTCAACCGCTGAGCCAAACTGGCCAGGGCCTAAGGCCCCTTTTCTAAGACGCCTCACTCACATGGCTGGCAAGTCAGCGCTGACTGTCACCAGGGAAACTAGTCCCAATCCACGCACATGCTGTCTGCAGGAACTTCCCATGCCTGACGGCAGGGAGTCTGTGCAGCACCCCTGTAATAGAGCCACGATGATCCCCAGTTTAGTGAAGCACAGAGAAGTTTAGAGGCTTCTCCAACATCACACAGTGGGTGCGTGTCAGAGCTGGGTGTTGAACCCGAATCTACTGGGCTCCAAAGCCTTACTTACCCATTAAGCTTAGTAATTCCCAGCCCTCTGGGTGCACCTTCGCCTCCTCCCACTCCTTCCAGAAAGCACATTACAGTGAAAGCGAACCCCAAGGGACTTTTGTTAATGTGGATTCAATCTGTATTAGGAATTTCAACTGAGAAATTAAAAGTACTTATTTATGAACTCTTTAAAAATAGCAACAACAAACATGTTACACATTAACACAAATTATATATATATATTTAAATAGCTATAATTTTCAAAACCAAAACAAATCGAGAAGAGTAGCCTTTATATTTTTTACAAAACTCTTTCAGGCCTGACTCAGCTGGATCCCCATACCTGCCTCTGCCTTCGGTCAGTTTCAATGTTGCTCTCCATGTAGCCTCTGGAAACTCCACTGAGCTCTCGCGAGAGAATGAGAGTGAAAAGGGCAAATAATGTCTTAGCTTCTCTTAGCTTCATTATAAAAATGGGTTTGTCCTTGGGTATGCCCAGGGGTCCCTGATCCCCTGCCCTGGAGCTTCTGCCATGCCACAGGGACCCTCAATTTCTTGGATGCCTCCTACAAGTTTCTGAGTCTCAAATTCTCTACTCAGCTCCTGAAACCACGTCCCCACCGACTCTGCTCCACACCAAGCCACTGGGAGAGAAATGAATGGGGGCTACCTCTGGGGGACAGAGCAGCCAGAGATCAAGAGGACTGATAGTCATACCTGTTCTTCATGAATAAATGTGGACTTAAGAGAAGTAAGAAGAGAAGTGGGTGGGATTACACTGGAAGTATGGCAGGGGCCCTAGAATAAAAGCTGGCATAGTCAGGGTCAATTGCAATCACGTATAAGCCCTGGCCGGTGTGGCTCAGTAGGTTGGGCATCGGCCAGTGGACCAACAGGTTGCTGGTTGATTCCTGGTTGGGGCACATGCCTGGGTTGCAGGCTCGATCCCCAGGGGGGCCTGGCAGGATTGCTGTTTCATTCTCACATCAATGTTTCTCTCTCTCTCTCTCCTTTCCTCTCTTTCTAAAAATCAATAAAAATAAAAACAAAAATTTATGTATAAAAAAGACGCTTTGTGTGCATGTAAAGCTGAGTTCAGATCATTGTAAACTGATTTTTTTTTTCACAGATATGAGGGCCTGGTGGAATTTCCCAGGGTCGTGGAAGATGTGAAACAACTCACAGTTCGTGACCATTCCTGGGTGTCCCACACACTTGGCATCCCCAGAGTGCCCACTGGATGTCTGTGGTGCCCAGATCATGTTACAAACCACCCCCAGGAGGCCAAACTGCTCGCAGTAGGAGCTCCTGAGATACATACACTTCAGGGAGAGGGACTTGCCTCTGTATCTGTAGGTGCCAGGTGCTCTCCTGGGGTGTCCCCTCCACAATCTGCAGTCCAGTGTGTCACAATGTCCTGTCTCCTGGTGAGACTAAAACCTTAGTCTCAGTAACACTCAGGGCAGGACATTGTTCCAACACCCACACACACCACCTCCTGAATCCTCAGCATCTCATGATAAAGTGGGGACATTGAGCCAGGAAGAGAAAAGTGACTTGCCTGGTGGGTGGCTTCCTGTTAGACAATAGAGATACCAGGTAGCATTTCTGGGAAGTAGAAAAAGACCTCTGCTCTGAACCATCTCCTGTAAAGAGGGTCTCTTCAGGTCCTCAAATGGTTAAACAGAGGCACTATGTGATCCGGCAATTCCACTCCTAGGCATTTGCCACAAGAAATGAAAACATACATCCACACAGAAACGTGGACATGAATGTTGACAGCAGCATCACTGTCAGCTAAAATGCGGAAATCACCCAAATGTTCACCCACTGATGAACGGATGAAGAAAATGTATTTTCACACAATGGAGTATGACGCAGCCACAAAAAGGAATGGACCACTGACACCTGCCATGGCATGTACGAACCTTGAAAACATTATACCAAGTGGAAGAAGCCAGATGCGAGCTTACCATGTAGCTATGATCCCATTGATCTGAAATCTCCAGAATAGGCAAACCCAGGGAGTCAGAAAAGAGATTAGTGGTTGCTGGGGGGAGGATTGGAGAGTGGTTGCTAAGGGATGTGAGGTTTCTTTTAGGGGTGATGAAAATGTTCTAAAATTGACCGTGGTGATAGTTGCACAACTCTGTGAACCATTTAATGGCACCCTTTATTTTTTAAAGGTATGTTTTTATTGATTTTTTTAGAGAGAGAGGAAGGGGGAGAGAGATAGAAACACCTACTTAGAAACATCTACTGGCTGCCTCCCGCACGCCCCCTACTGGGGACTGAGCTTGCGATCCCGGGCATGTGCCCTGATGGGGAATTGAACCGGGACCTCTCAGTCCATGGGACCACGCATACTCCACTGAGCCAATCGGCCAGGCTAATCGCACACTTTAGATGGTGATTTATATATGGTATATGAATCTTTTCACAGAACCTCACTCACACCAGAAAAACACCAGCTTCTGTTTTTTTGTTGTTGTTGAGTTTTCCAGTCTTGCAGGGTTATAAATAAGGGATGAATACAATCATGCTGAACCTGTCTGTACACACACACACACACACTATGGCCACGTGTGGCTGTCGAACCCTTGCACGTGGCTGCTCCAATGGAGCTCATTATGAAAAAGCGGCTGTTCAATATCTCATTAGTTATTGTTTTATACTGACAACAAGCACAAATGATACTATTTATCTACTTGGGGATAAATGAAATCTAGTCTTACAATTTATTTCACCTGTTTCTGCCTATTGACCGGCGGCGGCTAGAACGAAGGTAACATAGCTGCGTTGGGGGCAGCGTTATGTTTCTGCCAGACGATGCGGCTCTAGAGAGAAGGTAACATCCACTGGGGATCAAGAGGGTGACAGGAGAAGAGAAACGAAGGGAAATGAGAGCTGCAGGGGCGCTGGTAGGAGACTGAGAAAACTTGCGTTTGCCTGTAGGCCCAGTTGCCATGGTAACCGTGCAATAAACTCTTCCTAGATTAAAAGAAAAGCCTGAAGTGTTTTGGTTCTCTATCTGTCTGTCTATCTGTTTAACAAATGCTTATGTAATGGGAAGTTCTTGTTAAATAATTCCCAGAGCCAGCTCGAACGGAGCACCAGCTGCGGGCCAACCTCTTCTCCAAGTGCTTTGGTGGATCCTCCCGTCTAATCCCAGTAGGAACCCTATGAAGCAGGGTTAGAGCCGTAGCCCTTTCAGTGAGAAGAGCACAGGTTCAGAGAAGCTGGAGAACCTTCCCATAGTCGCAGCGGGGGACGCAGTGGAGACAGAAACCCCCCAGCTGGACAACAGCGCCTGATTTACTTGGGGGAGGGGTGTGTGTGTTTGGAGCAGCTATGGCGTTTCCATGTCCCCGGCGGTGGACCCAGTCAGGGAAGTGCTTTCTTGCCGAACTCATGTGTGACCTCACCGATGACCCTACACCTATGCAAACCATGTACAAAACAAAACCAGGGTTCGTTGCACGTGCATCCGTTCGAATACAGGAACGTGGGCAGGAGCGGGGCATGATCTCATTGAACGAGGCCTGCAGCCCATCAGTGAGATCTGTGCACCCCGAATGGCGCCTGCACCCCACAGATGAGGCCAGTATACCCTCACTGAAGCCCGTTTCCACCGAGTGCCACCTGTAAACTCTGAACCCAGGAGTGAGTCTGGGTCCCATGGTGTGAGGCCAGAGACCCTTCTTTTAGGTCCCTACACCCTCGCCCCCTGGGAATTTGGCCTGTTGGGGCCTCATTGCTGAAGGTAGTGCTGCCAACGCCCACATCCCCCTGTGGTCCGGCCCTTTAAGAGTGGGTCACCAGAATCCAGCTGCGGCCAGCCGTGTTGCCATGGAGACCGAGACCAGCTCACCGAGGGGCGAGCCCGTGCGCGCAGGCGCAGGACGGAGCAGCCGCGACGCAGCGGAACTGCTGAGACCGGAGCGGAGGGTGCGCGCCCAGACGCGGCTGGAGCCCGGCCCCCGGCGGCTGCCGTCCTCGCCGCGCTCCAGGTGCCACAGCGCCACCCTCCCCTGCACCTGGCCCGGCGCCGCGTCACCCAGGCCGGGGACAAAGGGCAGAGCGGCGGGGCCGGCGGCATCGCCGGGCCTGACACGTAAGCCCCCTGCGGATTGTCCGACAGCCCAGGGGAGGGGACCCCGGGAAAGGCTGCTGCGTCAGCCAGCCAGTGGCTGCGGGACCCCGACTCTGAGCCCTCACCGCGGCCACAGTCACCTGAACCTGAACCCTGAGCCCTGCGGCTGTCCCGGGCTGGGATTGGCTCTGGGCGGTGAGCGCCAGCCGGCGGCACCATGGCTCTGAGCCTTCTGCGGGACTGGTGCAGGGGGCTGGACGTGGACGTGCACAGGGCCCTGCTGGTCACCGGCATCCCCGAGGGCCTGGAGCAGGCGGCCATCGAAGCCGCCCTGCAGCCGGCCTTCCTGCCCCTGGGCACGTTCCGGCTGCTAAACACGAGGGCCATGAGGGACGAGAGGGCCAAGGCCGCCCTGGTGGAGTTCGTGGAGGACATTAACCACTCCGCCATCCCCAGGGAGATCCCCGGCAAGGACGGCGGCGTCTGGAGGGTTCTGAGTAAGGACCGCGCGGAGGACACCAGGGTCCTGAGGCAGATGAAACGCTTGTTGCTGGATGAAAGGGCCCCGGGGGACACGCCCACCCCTCCCACCTCGGAGACGGAGGCCCAGGGGTCGGAGCCGGCGGCCAGGGAGGCTGGCCCCCCTCCGGGTGCAGCCAGCAGGGCCAGGAGGGGCCGTCGGAGTCGCAGAAGCAGAGCCAGAGGCAACAGGTTGACCCAGAAGGGCAAGAAGAGAGGCCGAGGAGGGCGGCCGTTCACCTCCACCAGGCGCGAGTCCGAGGACTCCTCCTCCGACAGCCTGGGCATCGTGATCGAGGAGATCGACGAGGAGGACCTGAGCGGGGACGACGACCAGAGAGCCCTGTACACCACGCTCCAGGTCGCCGCCAAGGAGCTCGTGAAGAAGTGGGCCCTCCAGGGTGACACAGAGGATGGAGACGGCCCCCGTGAGTTCTTGGCTCTGGTGACAGTGACGGACAAAGCCAAGAAGGAGGAGATGGACAAAGAAACCCCTGGGGCTGAGTCCATCAGCCTGAACATCGAAGACCTGAGCGGGGTCCCCGACTTAGTGGCCCTACTGGCTGTGAGAGACACTTCGGACGAGGAGCCCATAGACAGCGATGCTTCCGAAAGCGAGTCGCAGGAAAACGGGGACCAAGAACATGAGGGGAGCAATCCTGAGTTTGTGGCCATTGTGGCATATACAGACCCCTCGGACCCCTCCGCCCGGGAGGAGATGTTGAAAATCGCTTCTGTGATTGAGTCACTGGGCTGGAGCGACAAGAAAGAGAAAAAAGATGCGCTCCCCGAGGTCCTGTCCGTCATGTCCAAGGACACTTCGGGAACCCGTGTGAAGGTGGAGGAGGCAGGCCGCCAGGTGGACGCCATGGTCCTGAGGAAGGCCAAGGACGACGGGAACCTTCTGGAATGTATTTCTACCTTGGCTGAGCCGGAGACCCTCCCCAAGGGGAAGAAGGTGCCGCGTGGCCTCTTCGGGGGCTGGGGTGATGAGGAGGAAGAGGAAGGGGGCCTCCTGGAGCTAGTGGCGCTTCTGGCTGCCCAGGACCTGGCTGAGGTGATGAAGGAAGAAAAGGAAGAAGCCTGGGACGGTGGGAAGTTCAAATACGCCAAGGGCAGCCTGGGGGAGGTCCTGGCGCTCCTGGCAGCGCGTGAGAACAGGGAGTCGGAGGAGGAGTCGGAGGAGGCTTCGGACGGGGACTCAGAGGAGGCGTCTGAGGACACCGAGAGCGAGGAGTCGGAGCCTGAAGATCGGGCTTCCAGGAAGCCTCGGGCCAAGCGAGCCCGCACGGCCTCGAAGGTCCTGGGTCAGGCTGGCGGCCCCTCGGGGTCCCGCAAAACCCGACGGGGAGGCCGAGGCCGCAGCGGGCGAGGCAACACTCCCGAGAAGAAAGCCAAAGACAAGGACGAGGCGGCGGGCGACAAGAAGAAGAAGAAGGGGCGTGCGGGCGCCGGAGCCCGCGCCAAGACCGGCGAGGCCAGGGGGCAGGCACCCACCAGCTCCAAGACGGCCCGCGGGAAGAAGGCTCGTAGGGGCGGTAGGCTGCCCCCCAAGTGCCGCTAGTGGCTCCCAGAGACAGCCAGGCAGCGGCCGGCCACGTGGCCTCTCCCTCCGCGCTCCCTCCGCCCTCCCTGCAGCAGAGGCCGGTCTCTCGCTTAACCGTGCGCTCTGTGCTCTGCTGTGCGCCAGGCGCGCACCGCGGGTCTCACCTTTACCTTCCAGTCCCTCCTTTGCAGGTGGCGCGAGCGATCCTGATGGAAGAAGGAGAGAGAAACGGGCACCCCCCCCCCCCGGAGGCAGCAGCCCCAGGTGATGGGACCCTGTCTCAAAGGGCACCAGGCAGTGTGGCTTTGTGTGTCCCCCAGCTAGCACGGGGTGAGTGTGTCCGCAGTCGAGGGCACCTGCAGAAGCCAGCAGTGCAGTGAGTTCTTTGACTCTTCGTGGGGCCACGAAGGTTCCAGACATGCTTCTGGCCAGCATCTGTAGGCCCCTGCCTCCCCTCCCCCAACCTGATGGGCCTGGGGTCTGTGGTGGAGGCTTGGCCACCAACCGTCCAGTGGATGTCAGGGTGAAGCTGAGCTGCCTGCCTGGAGGAGGGACCGGTTCCAGAAAGAGAAGCCCGAGAGGCAGAGGGGCAGCTCCTCGGGAAGCGGGGAAGGGAGAGAAGAGGTGGGGGAGGAGCGGGCCGGTTTCCTGGAGCTGGAGAGGAGGAGGAAGAAGAAGGGAAAGAGGCACCAGCCGTGCCCACTTCTGGTGCAGCTGATGCAGATGAATTAGCTCCTCGAGGCCAAGGCCACGTGCTGCTGTCCACAGGCTGAATCTGCCACTCAGACTGCACCGTGGTTTCCCCAAATCCTAATTATTTGCCAACATTTTCAGTTACAGCCATTCACATCCAGGTTATCGGTTTCTCTCTGCAGTGCCAGACAGCGCCCTTCCGCCAGGTGTGTGGCTGCCCTCTGCCCTCCCACCAGCTGCCCACCCCCTTCCTTGGCCTGACCAGTCCCTCAGTGCTGGCTTTGCAGCCCCTTAGAATCTAAGGTTAGCTGATGGGGTCTCCTAGTTCACCAACTGAGTGAATTAAATTCCAGAGGGGACCCTGCGGGGGCACCTGAGGGGCAGGGGCTGATCCCACCAGTGTAGGTGACTAGGGTCCTGTGTTCAGAGGGGAGGAAATGTCCCCAGGAGGGAGTTGCAGTCAGCCCTTGATTAGACCCCCACCAGTGACGTGGCTTGGCGCTGTCCAGGTCAGCACCTGCTGTCCCAAGTGCTGCCGCTCCTGTGTCGTGTCATGTCCATGTGATGACCTGTGCATGGGCCCTCTCTGCCCATCTTGATGCTTACCCTCAGTGGTGATCTCCACTCGCCATCCCTCCAAGTCCTCTCTGGTCCTAGGGCTGTGTGTATCCATGTCCCAGTTCCCATCCTGCCAGAGGGGTCCTCCCTGCATGTCCCGAGGAAGGCACGGCTGCCTGGGTGTGTCCTCAAAGCCCGACTGGACTGTCCCAGCCCAACTAGGAACACCCAGGTGCAGCAGTAGACACGGGAGCAGCTTGGAGGTGACCCCCTTGGGCTGCAGGGACCCCCCTGGGACAGAAATGAGCTAACTTTGGATTGGGTCAGGGTGGGCATGGAGCTGGAGGGGAAGCCCCCTCCTTCCTGCGGTCTGATGGACTTCAGGCCTGGTCCTGGGCTGAGCAGCTTCTGGAGATGCCTGGGCTGGGGAGGGCCCTGCGTGTACCTTCTCCCTGCAGCACCCAGGCCCCTCCTCCTTGTGCTCTGTCACCTGGAATCCCTCAGTAAAGTGAATTAAGTGTTTTGGCCTGGTCTCTGTGCTCTGGGCACTGGGGGGGGGGGCAGGTATGAGGTTGGGCAACAGATGCCCCCCTGTCATGGCTGATGTCCAGCCGGAACACCCTGGGACTGCCCTGTCACCGATTTACACCCAGTGTCTTTTCTGCTTCAGTGACTGTGCCCCCACCCAGCCCCCTGTCCTGATCCCTCCACTTACCTTCTGCCGCGTCAGCTTCTACCTGCCCAGCCAGCTCCAACCTCAGCGGTCTCCTGCCCTATCACATCTTGCCAGGCCCCGCCCTCCCATCACCTTTAGGTCCCTGCCACCAGACCCCCTTTGCTGGCCTCACCCAACAACATGTTCTAGGGTCCCAGCCCTCACCCCTAATCCTGGTCCCTAGCCCATTTCCTCAGGTCAGTCTCCACCCACCTACACCTTACCAGACCCCCAGCCTGTTCACACCCTCCCCCAGTCCAGCTCCCTGCCCCACCCCACTCAGGGCCCAGCTCTGAGCTCAGCCACGCCACACTCACTGGTGCTCTGTCCTGTAACCTATGCCCAGTTCCCAGCTCCCACACTTGCTCTTCAAGGCTCTGCCCTGGACCCCAGACCAAGAAACCTCCCCTTCTGCCTGGGTCCCTGCCCCACTCCCATCCATACCTACAGGGCTGCCAGAGGGGTCCTGTTAGGACTTACCTGATGCCTGAGGGAGTCCCTGGCCTTCCCAAACCCTTTCCAGTCATCTCCTGTACCCACAGGTCAAAGGATATTTGCACCAGCCTGTCCTTCACTTCACATGGGTCTTTCTTCAAATGTCACGTGCCCAGGGAGGGCTTCCCTGACCACCCTATTGAAAATGTCATCTTTCCTGCCCTGGCTGGTTTAGCTCAGCGGTTAGAGTGTAGGCCTGGGGACCGGAGCGTACCAGTTCGGTTCCCGCCAAGGGCACGTGCCTTGGTTGCAGTTTGTCCCCCGCCCGGTTGCGGTCGTGTGGGTGGCAGCCACTCCATGTGTCTCTCTCACATCAATGTTTCTCTCTCTCTCTTCCTCCCTCTCTCCCTCCGCTCTATCTGAAGATAATGCAAAAAAAAAAAAAAAATGTCCTCGAGTGAGGATAAAAAAAAAAAAGTCACCCTTTCCATTCATCCCCACCTTATTTTTCAGAGCTCTGATTGCCATCTGGTACACTTATTTATTTCGAAACAACGTGCTGAGTGTATTTTGGGGGGTAGAAGGAACAGACACGGTTTCTCAGGCAAAGTCAGGTGCCCAAAGATTAGAAACGGAGCGAGCTTCTCGCGGCCCAGGAAGGGTGCAGCCTGGGGCCGTTCCACCAGCGGAGTCCACGTGCCACCAGCGGAGCCCACGTGCCACCAGCGGAGCCCACTGAGCAGAGCCCATTGGCCTGAGGAGGCGCAGGAGCCCCTGGCTCACGTCGGGCTCCCAACTGCCACCAGCTCCCTGGGCGGGCGGCGCAGCTAGCGGAGGATTCGGACGTGCTGAGGCCGAGGGTCCGCCGGTGATGGGGTCGGGGTGGGTGAGCGAGGGTTTAGGGCAGCAGAGTGGGCAGGGCCGCTCCGGGCCGGGAGAGTGCTCCGCCCTGTTCCCCACCACGTCCCCAGCGCCAGCCAGGTGCCCGCACACTTTCTAGTGTCGAATGACTGACGGGCCGGATGAGCCACGAGGGTTTGGGGAACCGGACCCAGAGGCGCCCGACGAGGAAAGTGCGGGAACGCTCCGCCCTGGCCGGAGGGAGCCTGGGGACGCGCGGAGCAGCGGTTCGGGTCCAGGGAGCAGCCGCGTACAGGCGCTGAGATCCCCCGGGAAGGGCGGCGCGGGGAGAGCCCGCTAAGGCCGCTTCGCTGAGGTTTGTTCCTGTGCGGAGCCCGGAGGCGCCGGGCCCCGAGGCCCGAGTGGAGCGCGGGCGCCCCCGGTGGGAGAAGGCACTGTCCCGGGAGGAGGCTGAGCCAGCCTTAAAGGACTGTTTCCAGGCCCGGGGCTGGGGGCGGGGGCTGTGGCAGGAAGCAGGACAGACAAGTGCAGACCCTCTCAGAAGATCATGGAGAGGGCCAAGGCGGCCGGGGCGGGGCGGTGGTGGGGACAGATGCTTTGTCTCCGAGAGAAGCGCAGGACCCTGTACTAGCGGTGGCTGCGGGGAGAAAAACCCGGCAAGCCTGAGGCTGCGGGGCAGGAGGGTTTACAATCACCACCTGTTTAAGGTTGTGTGGGGAAGCTCACTGACATTTAAGTGAAACCCCAAAGGAGGTGAGAGGTGAGGCAGCGGATGCGTGAGGGAAGCGCACCCAGGGACAGGGACAGCCGGTGCAAAAGCCCCAGCCAGCGCTGTGAAGCTAGGCGGTCATTGGCGTGTCGTCGCTGACCCCTCCAGCGCCGCCAGCATCAGTGCTGGGCTTCGGGAGACCGTGTTTGCAAAACACGGCACAGTAGCCACAGGCTTCCCGGGAGGGACTGTCTAGTTGGATTCCTCCCGCGACTGGTGTTTAGATGTGAGCCAGGCTTGAAATGAATGTGCAGAGTCACTGGGGTTCGGATGGGGATCGGGCATGCAGAGAAGCAGGGGGTACGCCCCTCTACCCGGGCATGGATCTGGGGGATGAGCCTATGCTGGCCCTTCTGCCCGCTCAAACGGAGACGGGGGCACCCCGAGATCGTGGGGATGTGACCAGGTCCTAGAACGGCCCGGAGGGAGAAGTCAGAGTCCCGGGAACAGAAAATGACAACTCTTGCCCTCCATTGGATTCTCCAAAGCCTGGTGGCCTCAGGGCCCGACTATCTCTGTGCAGGCTCCACCCCATCATAAAGATGCTTCTGCTCCCAGGTTCTAGGATTGAGGAGGTGTGTCCATTTACGTGAGTTGCTTATTTTCCCACCAGGGGGCGCTCCAAGACCGCTCCCAGGGTGCCCCCATGATCCCCACCAGGAGGCGCTCCCCGGCGCCGGTTAAAGTCGTGCGCGGAGGCGGAGGCGGAGGTGGAGGAGGTTCAAAGGTGTGCAGGACACTAGCCCATCAACTTGAAACTCCAAAGCTCCTCCAGGCCTTTCAACACCAGGCTGCGGAAAGCGGACTTCCCTGTGGGACAGCGGTCTCTCAAAGTGAGACCAACTGCATCAATATCTCCTGGGAATTTGTTAGGCGCCCCAACAGAGCTATTGCATCAGGATCTGCATTTTACAAGGTACTTACCTGGGTGATCATCAGACACATTACCATTTGTGTTACCATGTGAGTTACTAAAAGAAGAGAAAATATATGTGTAGATGAACAAAAGATCTAGTTTGCATTATGTTCCTGCAAAGAGAGAGTAGCCGAATCGAATCTCTGGAGATGGGACCTGGGTTCAGGTCCTCACCTGCCCACTCACTGGCTGTGCGACTTTCGTGGGTCACATCACCTCTGTGTGCCTCGGCTTCCACATCCGAAAACAGGGCGATGCTGGAAGTAGCCCCGCCCTCGCAGGGCCTCCGGGAGGTATTAAGCACAAAGGACTTAGAACAGTACCCAGCCCTAGGCGGGGGTCTGCCTAAGCATAGCCGCCCATTTCTTGTGCCACGTACATTTTGCAATTATGTGCAAATAGTTTTCCAAAAAGTAAACCTCTGTAATAGAGGCTGACTCTCTTCTTTGAGGTTTGACCATGGACAGCCTTAGATGGTCCACCCCACATCTGGGAAAGACCATAAAAAATTTGCTTGCCCCCTCCCACCCTTGGAAATGCCCAGCCCCAGCTACCAGCCTCGGTAAAGGCCCAATGCTCTCATTCTGAAATTTAAAAACAAAACAAAACATGTTTGTTTGTTTTTTTGTTTTTGTTTTTATCCTCACCTGAGGATATTTTTCCATA